TCAGCCCGCAGCAGGACCGTGAGAATAGGAAGAAGCTGAGACTGGCCCCTCCCTAGAGTCTTGCGGGGTATATCCACTAGTTGCTTTAGCAAAGGTTTAGTCTGACGAGATTCTGTCTATTAGGTGCAAGCTAATAAAGGAACTAGACTGGACTGGACCACCTCGTTGCCGTTCTTGGGCTGGGCCTGACAAGTTTGCAGCTATTAGATGTTACCATGTGTGCATTGGAGTCTAGCTCTTGGCATACAGTAAATAAAATCTCCCTGCCTGCAAAACTAGCTCTTACAGAAGTCCGAACTTGATTGGATCTATACCAATAGTCCACTTTGCATCTCTGAATATGTCGCTCCCACCCTACCTGTTTTGAACTGGTGAAACTAGAGCTGGATGTTTGCATTATACATCAAATGTTGCCAGAGCAACAGCTGCCCCATCTAACTAAGCTAATGCCAGAAGACAATGTAGTCTGAGAGCCAACTGAGCATGCCCAGTGCTGCTTCTAAGGCACTAAAACCATACTTTGACAACAAATTGCTTTGTATGCCTACAACCCTGCTTAACAATTAATGCAGCGGGTAACCTTAGCCACGGTGGCTCATCTACTACATTTATTGTGCCACAGGCTCTGTCTTTCAGTATTTGGTTTTGTAGAAGGCAGGTCACAATGTTGAGATTTAATACAGACACTTTAGCAGTGGGAAAGTACAAGAAAGGCACCGAAATGTGGGAGAAATGGGATGAATCAGCAGATGAAGAGGAGAGGACCAGCTTTCTCAATCAGCTCCTCCATGATAGAGTACTTCATGGCACGGAGGATACCGTAAGTATTCTAGAGCAGGATGCTATTCTTTGACAAGGAATGGAGAGGCAGGGTTTCTGCAAGGCATTAACAGTAAAGAGGAGTTGGGGAGGGGGAAACAGGATAATATCTGCAGGGAATGTAGAACTGATGAGGGTTAAATCTGCATGCCTTTGGATACAGTTATCAAAATCAAATTTTATGTATATATATCTATCAGCCAAAAGCCCCCCCCATAGATAGATAGATAGATAGATAGATAGATAGATAGATAGATAGATAGATAGATAGAAGACAGACACATACATACACACACACAGATACATACCTACACACACAGAATTTTAATTATAGTAGTAAAATCTGCTGGCCAGAAATGGTCGACGCTTCAGCGGTTCGAGTCCAGCCTTCACGTTAGCAAAGCGAGCTCCT